AATGAAGTACTAATTTTGATTATATAGATGAGCAAGTAAAGCTCAGAGGAAGGGAGATTACTTATGCATTAGGGCCAACTATAGACCATTCCTGAAGAAGGGAACTTGAGGTTTGGGTAGGGTCAGCCGGGTGGAAAGTACAGGTGAGTGAGTGAGTGAGTGTTTGCTCAGTCGTGTCCAACTCTTTGAGACCCCATGGACTGTAGCCCACCAGGTTCCTCTGTTCATGGGATTCTCCAGGCAAGAATACTGGAGTGGGTTGCCATTGCCTTCTCCAAAAGGACAGGCAGATAGTCCTATTTTAGCCTGAAGGAGAACATGAATATATGGAAGAAATATGAAAATGTTCAATAATAAATAAAGAGGCTATCCTAGGAATTTTATGTGGCATTAAAGTAAGATATGTAGGGTAAAACAGTATTTTGGAAACTCTTGAAAACTATACTCACTTAAATGTTTGGGTCTCTTTGTACGCTGATAATGACAATGAAGTATCAAGGCCAGCCTAACAGTCAGCTTATGATTTTGTGTCTTCAGAATCAATGGTAACCCAGAAGGGGCCTCTGCAGTCATTGTGGGAGCCCTGTCTAAGTTCAGCTTGAACTCTTCTAGAGCTGGAGAGCTCACCACTTTCCAAGGGAGCTAGTTCATGAAACAGCTTCTAATGCTGGAAAGTTCTTTCTTCTTAACTAGGCCATACTCTGCCTATCTGCTACTTTGTAAACTGGTTCTGATCCTCTTCTTTGGTCCATTCTAGAACAAATCTCTTCCTTTAGTGTGAAGAAAATCATTCAAGCATTTAAAGATAGTTACATTCACATTCCTTCTCCACTACCCTCTCTCCCATATATCTAAGAGTGTTACATCTTTTCTTCTCTAGAATGGGCTACCCAGCCTTTCATTTGTTTTCCCTCTCATTCATTAGTTCATTCATTCATTCATCTCATGTATTCAACAGATTTTTGTTGAGTGGTTCCTATGTTTCAGGCTCTGCCTAAGCTCTCCGACTGTATCAGTGAAACATCCTATCTTCATGAAGCTTGCATTCTAGTGGGGGACATCAGACAAGTAATGAGTGAATGAATGAATAAATAAATATCAAATAGTATTAAGTGCCTTAGAACAAAGTAAATGAGGGAAAGGGGTAGGGAGTTTTAGAGGACGGAGTGCAATTTTAAAATTAGAAAATATAGATACCTCACTGAGAAGATAAACTTGAGCAAAGACCTGAAGAGGTGAGGGAGCCAGCCATGCAGATATCTGGGAGAGCTAGGCAGAGCAAACAGCAACTGCAAAGATCTTGAGGCAAGATTGAGTTTGGCTTGTTCAAGAAATAATGGGGTCAGAGCAATAGGGGCATAATGATTAGGTGGGGTGAGTACTAGGTGTCAGAGGTAGTAGGGAGCCAAATTCTGAAAGGACTTGTTGGTCATTGTGAAAACTTTGAATCTGGCTCTGGATGAGATGGATAGACATTGAAGAGTTATAAGCAAGAGAGTATTGTGATATGACTTAGGTTTTAAAAAGATCACTCTATCTACTGCGTTGACATATTGGCAGAAGGAAATGTGCCCTGAACTAAGGAGGCAGACTCTTACAGTAAAACAAATTAGAGTTGATGGTGGCTTAAACAAGGTTTGTAGAACCAGAGGTGGCAAAAGTGGAGGGATTCTGAATATATTCCTGGGAGCAAACCAGTAGGAGCTGCTGATGGATTGGATGTAGGGATGTAGGATTTGCCCCCACAGTCAGAAGATGAAGTACTCATTAACCAAGGTCTGAAAGGCTATGAGAGGAGCAGGTATATGGGAGAATGACCAGCAGTTCAGTATTGCACCTTTAAGGTTTAGATGGCATTTTTGACATACAAATCAGATAAGAATTTTTATATGCATTTCCATCTTCAAGGAATGAAGGGGAATTGACCAGACAGGAAGTGGATGGGGTTGTAGGCAGTGGGTGACAGCATCTACTATCCCTCTACCATCTAGTAGTGGGCTTTCGAATATCTCCTGTCTCACTTTAGAAAGTAAGTTGTACAGATGTTTTGTCTGTTTGTTCTCAGTGTTCCATTACCAAGTTAATGTCCAAATACTGTTAAATATGTGCAACTCATGTAGAAGAGTTGGATTCTGATTCAGATTAAGTATTTTCCTGATAGTCTGAGCTTACCTTTCTCACCCTAATCTTGATATCTAGTAGAGAATTTGTGAAATAAGAAAGAATTCATCTCCTGGATATAGTACCTGTGTCACTTTGGCCAACAACAAAGACTCTTTGGAACTTAATTGGTTACTTCATTTGTAAAATAGGGGAAGTGACATTTCTCTCTCAGACTTATTGTGAGGATTAAAGAAGATAATGTAAAAACATCTAAGCATTATCTATAGCACATAACAAGAGGTCAATTCAAATTTATTTAATAGCTATATAGATATTTTGATTTTAAAGTGCTGCAAAAAAAATGACCACCTATTCTTTGCAAAAAGAAAATGTCCTTCATGAAAAGAAAATGTACCATTTGATAGTTTGCATATGAAGCAAACTAGTTCTATGGTTTGGTAATGGAACACTAAAAGCAAACAAATATAGATTAGCTTACCAAATTGGGAAATCTGTAAAATGGGTTAATATTGCAGTAAAAGTTTTCACTCTACACTCATTATGTGATTAAGGCAAAAATATTTTTATTGCAATTATCCAAACTCAGTAAAAAAAAAAATAATGAGGCATTTATTGCCTTGGGTAGGTTAGCATATGGAGAAGGCAATGGCACCCCACTCCAGTACTCTTACCTGGAAAATCCCATGGATGGAGGAGCCTGGTGGGCTCCATGGGGTCGCTAAAAGTCGGACACGACTGAACGTCTTCACTTTCACTTCTCACTTTCATGCACTGGAGAAGGAAATGGCAACCCACTCCAGTGTTCTTGCCTGGAGAATCCCAGGGATGGGGGAGCCTCGTGGGATGCCATCTATGGGGTCGCACAGAGTCAGACACAACTGAAGTGACTTAGCAGCAGTAGCAGCAGCAGGTTAGCATAAAATTTAATTTGTATCAATTTGCCCCAAACTTAGGAAGCAAGAAGTATGCTGTTTTTAAAATTTGGTTCTATGAAAGAGAAGCCAGTATTTTATCAGATGTTTCTACACATGGATTTAGATTTCTCTATTATCTTCTTTGGTACAGTCAAAATGTCACTGCGCGCAACATAGAAAATGGATCATATCAGGTGCTTAGTATCAACTGGATGCCTACAGGCTCTGCAAGCTCAGGAATTTTTATGGAATATAGTGAGCATAATGTATCTGTATATTGAATATCTTTAGAGGAAAGAATGATAGAATTCAAGTCAGGTGATCTAGCTTCAAATCTCAGCAGTGCTGATTACTAAATATTGGACCTTAAGCAAGGCCTCATTTTCTTCATCTGAAAACTGGGCATAGTAATACCTCATGGAGTTACAATGTTAATTGGATGAGATAATCTATATGAAAATATTTTATGTTAGTTAAAGGTTAAGGCATCATATGACAGAGGTTGTTAAAGATAGCATTATCAGATACCCCACAGTGTGATTTTAGGCCATTTCTGTCATTTCTACTTCTCCCAGGCTGGAAAGTGTACAGCCCTTGAGAAATTATACTCCTTCAGGACGTTCAAAAAATAGCTGGTAACTTAGTTGCTACTGCTGCTGCGTCACTTCAGTCGTGTCTGACTCTGTGCGACCCCATAGACGGCAGCCCACCAGGCTCCTCCATCCCTGGGATTCTCCAGGCAAGAATACTGGAGTGGGTTGCCATGTCTTTAGTTCTTCACAAATTCAGAGTATTTTCCTCTTAGACTGAGGTGGATAGAAAGTTTCAATGTAGCGGGGTTCAATAAGAATCGGTCAAGTAATTGACTGACCTGAAGTCAAGTATTAAAAGGACTTCCAGGACTTCACTGATCCCAGCTTTTATAAATGGATGGAAACTGAGGCTCAGAAAAGAGTTACAAGGACAGTTTGAAGTGAATTTATATTAATGTCCTTAAAGATTGAGAAACACTTGGTGAATATTGCATCTATGAATGAATATTGTTTAAGTCCTATTCTTTGAGCTAGGTAGTAGGTCTTTCATTCTTTCAACATTTCAAGTTTACAATGCCACAAGGGAAATGCCACAAGAGAGACAGATAGCAATGTCTCCCTGCAGAGGGAGAGACTGACATTTGTAAAGGCTCTGGTAAGTTTATTTGAACTAGATTGACATGATGATGGACTGATCTGGTGTGACCAAGCCTTGGCACCCACTAGGATCTAGGATGAGGCAATGTGTGTTACTCTGTTAAGTAGCAAAGCTCTCAGTGTTCTTCACTTCTGACTCCTTCAACCCTGGCTCCAGCCCAGGGCCACAGGAGTAATGACATCCAAGATGATCCTTCCGTAATTAGGAAATAAAAGTTTCAACGAGCTTCCCTACAGGTTTAACCACAGAAATAAGTAGACATTTACATGGATACCAAATACACGCTTTATTGAATCTGACTCTGGGATGTATAGGATCCTTCCTCATCTTGATTTTCCCTTTGTACTCTCAAACCAAGGTGAAGACATAAACCTGCTTACCAGTGTCATTATAGTATGTCTCATGTTACCAGCCTTTTTTTTTTTTTTTTTTGTAATGTTCTGGGAGATCCTAAAAGAATGATCTTACAAGTAACTTTGTGGTGTTAACTACAGTATTTGTTCCAAATGCCAAGGGTTATCAAAGCTTTGCTTTCATGTTGCAAAACCATCAATAAATTGCTCCATTGTATTGCTTAACCTCACCCTCATCATCAGGGAGGTTTGCAGAACTCCTCCAGGAAACACCTTTGTTCTGTTTCATTGTTTGCTTAGCGTTTCAAACAGAGTCCCCTCTGAGACTGTGTGAGGGATGAATTCCAATGCCACCCAGAAGAACTTGTGTATGTAGATATTTCCCTCTGTTTTATTTTATTTTTTTGAATCTATACAGGCAGCAGCCTCAGATTCCAATCACCACAGGAACGGGTGTTGTGTATCCTGGTGCTATTACTATGGCAACTACCACACCATCACCTCAGATGACATCTGACTGCTCTAGCACCTCGGCCAGCCCAGAGCCCAGCCTCCCGGTCATCCAGAGCACTTATGGTATGAAGACAGACGGCGGAAGCCTAGCTGGAAACGAAATGATTAATGGAGAAGATGAAATGGAAATGTATGACGACTATGAAGATGACCCCAAATCAGACTATAGCAGTGAAAATGAAGCCCCGGAAGCTGTCAGTGCCAACTGAGGAGTGTTTGTTTGCTGAATTAAAATACTCTGACATTTCACCTCCCCTCCCCCAACAAAAAAAAAATTCTTAAAGAGCCCGCATGCATTTGTGGCTCCACAATTACATCAGCAGAATGGTCTTAATTGTTTCGTAAAGCGTGAGACAGATTAAGTTTTCCCTGATTTTTCATGAACTTGAGTTTTTTTGTCGTTATTGTTATTGTTGTTGTTGTTTTTTAATTTAGGTGAAGACATATTAAATATGAGACACCAGGACTTGAAAACTTATCTCAACCCATAGCTGTCTTACAAGTCTTATATTTTTGTCTTACTTTTTTCTTTTGGATGTTGATAAAGGTTTAAGTTACTGTTTTAGATGGGGTTAAACATTCTCACTCAGGTATGCTGTGCCGGCCTACAGGTTGTGAATGTGTTTTTATTCTGAATTATTTTAGAAAACAACTGAGAATTTCATATTGTGAAACAGAACAAGTCCACGGCGTGTGCAGCTGCATGCAGAGCATATTCAAAAGGCCTCGGAATTCCATTTTTCCACGTGTAGTTAAACTTTGAATGTGCCAAACTTTTGCATAACTTTTGAATCTTAATATTTTGAAAGTCTTAAAGGAGACACTGCAAAGTCTTAGACAATCTTTGGCATCTTAAAATAGCAAACCACACATATTTTTTTTTTCCAGAAAATGGTAAAGTACTCAGGAATCTGGAGACAAGATATTGTAAGGAATGAACAAGGCTGCCACAGTGCATGTACCCAGTCGTGTTTGCCTCCTGACGTGCCATCAGTGTGACGTGGTATGACGTGCACGCACTAGAGCGATCACCACACCAGATAGCAACACAGTGGTCTTCTCTGCCTGAGACCACCTCTCACTACATCCAGTATCCCTTTGCCTTTAACCCTGACATTCAGTCTTAACACATTTTTCTCTTAAATAATTTATTCATTCCAGAATGTCAAGGGTCCACTTACTATTTATTTAAAAAAAAATTTGTTGGTGGCATTAATTTAATGATTCTTTTTTCTCACCCTCCTTCCCCAAAGAACTTTTCAACCCTTTTCACCTCCTTCTCCTGCTAGATACAAAAGATGTACATAGTGATTTTATGTCCCCAGAACATCTGGAAGCATTTCTGAAACAAGATACTACTAAATACCCATATAGTTGTTTTTGAACATCAGTGTATATATGGCTATAGAGCTGTGTATTTGGATGCAGGTGTAGAGAATTACACTTCAACAGGAATGTCCCTGAGGTTCACCATGACTTTGAATCTTTTGCCAGAATTTCCCCCCAGTTCAGTTAAGCCACAAGTGGTAGGGTCTACGTTGGTGGCATTTCCCCTGAATGCCATTCAGCAGCAAGGGTCAACAGTGGTGACTGCCAGGCAGGAGAGTCCTGCAGCCAGTCCTAAAGCCCAAGGCTGCGGGCCGTGTGGGAGTCCACAGGGGTGCTCTCGTGGGCTGGCATCTCTTCACTGAGCTGCCTGTCCCATCTGCCACATCGAGGGAGTTCTTTGCAAAATCCCCAGGATGCAAGAAGCTGCATGACAGCCTCAGAGCAAAGACAGAGGCAAATTGTCATGATACATCCAGAGAATGAAAGAAACCCATAGGGAGGGAGAAGGAGGGGAAATACATTCCCTAAATGGGATGTTCCTACTGTTAACTCTGGGGAACAGATCACTCCTGGGGCAGCAGATGAGTTCCTCTGGCTCACTCCCTCCATCTGTGGCCACGTGGGGGTCATGCCTATGTGTGAACAAGATTAACTACGCATGTCACACAAGGAGTTTTCTGGAGATGTGCTGATGCGTTGGGAGGGCAATGAGGCTTCCTTCCTCATCTCCTAATGACAGGGAGCTCGGCCATGCCATCTTGACCTTCCTGAATCCAGGACTGATTGCCTACGGGGGAGCCTCACCCCGAGTAGTTCAATGGGAGAATGTCAGCAAATGGGACAGTTCACCTCATGAGACAACCAGAATCTGATCACCAGGACATAGGAACGGCCCCATCAGATTTCTTGAGCCATTTCGTCACTTGGAAGAAAATAGTGTACCTTCGTATTTATTTAAGAGTGCTCACGGCCATACCTAAGAGCGATAAATAGGTCTAGCCAAGACATTACTGTTTATGTCATTAGCTAGGAGTGCTCTCTATAAGCTGATTTAGGTACTGATAGGAATGTTTGGTTCTTAATATTGATTGGGGATTGGAACTTTGTTTTTGTACATTTATTTCAAATGAGGAGGAGGTCATTTTTCTAAAAAAAAAAAATGAGTATTTATTATTGTCTTAGTGGTTTCTTTTGATTATATACCTCTCCTCCTCAGTTCATTCTCACATTTTTTTTCCTCTTTCTCTTTGATTCTTGCTTTTGCCCTCTCCCACTCCTTTTTGATTTTGTTGCATAGGTAGAGTGCTGTATGGCTAGCATTGTATTGTATGTAATTAATTTTGCACAAAGGCAAACATTTAGAATAGTAGGTTAATTTTGTTTGTTTTTATGACCATGCCAAAATAATATTCTGGGCTGGTGGAGAACAAAGGACTGTTCTTTAGGACTGAAACTTGATTTTGCTTGTAGTTTAAAAAAAAACAAAAAAAACAAAAAAAAGAAAACAACACAAAAAACCAACAAAAAAACACACACACTCACAGATGTTGTTTCTTAAGTGTTATAAGCACTGGATATAAATGGTATTTTTTATCACTTCTGACTAATGTGAAGCTGTTGTACGAAAACTACATGAACAAAAGTCATCTGTTTCGACTCGTGTGGGCTTGCCTCACAGTTGCCGGATTTGAGTCATTTTTATGTCTTGTTATTTCATTTATTTATGCAAAATACATGTGTGTATGAACACTTTGTTTTAGCTCCAGCTCTGCCTCAGTACTGGGGTTCAGTTACTCCTAGCCATGTTCTTAAAAATGAAAGGCTATTCAGGAATGATCTGATTGTAAACGTCTCTTTCATTGGGTCAAACAGTGATGCTGTATTTGAATCTAAATTCTGCACATAAGCAGTTTATTCTATTTATTAGCCAAGTTTGGCTCTAAATATCCATGGAAATTAAGAATGACAATCATAGGGATCACTTCATTTTATTTTCAGTGGGGCTTAAACAAAGTTTTTATGATTTTACCATCTCATTTTAGATTTTTCTAATTGTGTAAATATAACATAGAAATAGAATTTATTTTTGGTTCATGAATATTTAGTGAAATATAAGTTATGTATTTCCTTTTCGTTCTCTATCCATATATGTTGGTCCAGACTAGAAGTTGATAAGTCACTGTACCTCATGGGGTAGTGAGTTATCAGCCACAGTGAGAGAGCAGCCCCACTTGCAGCTGAAGCAGGAAAACCCTTCACTCGGGTTCTTGTACGGTTTAGAACCCACTGTCCACAGACTCAGCCTTTCACTTTTTTTCTCATAGAAAGCTGATGAATTGAACATGGTGAATTTCCAGCACAGCTGGGAGGGAGTCAATTTGCTCTGTGAATCCACATGAATCTTATAAGGTAGTTCCATGACCATTTAATAGCATGAAGCATGAATGCCATTATAAAGGCAAAAATCTGCCTCTGAGATTGGCCGTTAATGAAAGCCTCATCATGCCAATTAGATTAAAGAATGTTAATCAACTTTTTTTTTGTTGCTCCCTGTTTCATAATATCTTCAAATCAAAGGGAAACATCTCCACTTTGTTAAAGAACTTGCAGGATCAGGATTTTCCTTGTCACTTAGAATAGGGACACTGACAGACAATCCTGTCCTAAAGAAATGGACCATATGGAATAGGAAGGGAGGAAGGAAGCGAAGAAAGAAGAAAAGGAAGGAAGAAAGAAAAGAAAGGAAGCAAAGGAAAGAAGAAAGAGAGAAGAAAAGAATAAAGAGAAAGAAAGGCAAACAAAGAAAGGGAGAGAGAAAGAAAAGGTCAGTCTGTGGACAGGAGCAGCCAGTCGAGCAGTTTCTCTGTTTCGCTGGCAGACGTCAGGTGGTATTTTTTCCAGAAAGGTACGAAAGCTTTGTTGTTTTCACCTGTATTCAGCTCACCCTTTTAGGAGCACATCAGTTCGCTCCTCTTGGTATTTGATACTCCCCAACCTTGTCCTCAGGCCTGATTTGATTTGCCAGGGTCCCAACACCATCTCTCAGGCCAAGTTCTAAATTCAGGTGTGGGCTCACAGTGCTATTGAGCTTGTCAAATTCTGGCCTCCCCTGAACATTAGCCCCACTGGAGCCTGGGGTGTTTGAAAAGGGTGTGATCACTCTAGGGCTGAAATTAAAGGCTTCTTTATTTTCCTTATGAAGCCAGGCTGCTTCTCCGGGGCACACCCTCCCAAGCAGTGGGGCACAGGCACTAGTGAAAGCGGGGATTGTTTCGAGGAAGCCCATCTACCCCCAGAAGGAAGGCAGCCTGGTCACACCACAGCTGAGGCTGCTCCTCTTACTTCACTCATTCTGCAAAGAGGTGACCTCTACCTACTCATTAAGGAAAAGAAAAAGAATCGCTTCGTAGTTTCAAACCATACGAGAAGTCCTGTACCAAGTGCCAACAACTGCAAAGAATGCAGCTAGAGGAATGTATTGAAATTATTACTGGGTCTTCCTTTTTAATGAGAATATGACAAAAAATGGTTGCTGTAGCCTTGCCTGATTTTGTATATGTTTGTCTAAGGACTGAGTTGGCACTTAAGCTCACTTCTCAAAGTATAATAATATTGTATGACCTCATTTGTCCTTTTACAAAAGCACTTGCATCATTTCCTTAAGTCATCTGTCCCCTGACATGTTTTCTTCCTTAATAAACAACTTCTGTCTGTTATTCCTGCCGATTATGTTCTGTTTCTGATGCCATGTACTATTGAGCGTAACCCTCTGCTAATATCACTGAAAATACTGATATGCAAACCCTTTTCCCTTTCATCCCCACCCCATCTTTTCCTTTGGGGACAGATTTCTTTCCCAAAGCTCATGAACAAGTATTGGGAATGCTGGTACCTTGGAGGCAGTGCTAGAGGTGGGAAGGGGCAAGGCAGAAAGGTAAAGCTTCGTGCAGATTCTCTTCTGATTGTCGTCCATGGCAACACGAAAGCTTAAAGGCAACTCAGTGATGTATCTTGCTCAGTAGTTTCTTATTCCTGAAGATCCACAAGCAGACAGTGAGGCCTCAGTGCTGGTGCTCTTGGAGTATGGGGAATGTGCAAATATTTAACTGTTTTGTATGCTGCACATTGCAGACCTGCTCACGTGCATTCTCCGTTTGTCTTCTTTTGTCATATGTGTTTTTGCTTTTTTTGAAAAAGTGCAGTCTTTATTGTACCCTTCTCCAGCTTGTAGCAAATTAGAATGCTTAGCATTTATGTTCATTCATTATTGTATTTGCCATGTAAAATTTTTATTACCTTAGACAAGCTTATAAGCTGTTACTACATAACTTATCTTATTGTAACTCTTTTATTTCCTGACATTGTAATTTTTTTGTGATGTATATTGTGAGATTGTATTCTATGTTAATTTAATCAGCACAATTCACTGACATGCTGGACTGACATGCTGGCTGCTGTTTCAAAGTGTAAAGTTTGTGTAGGGCTGTTGAGACAACTGCTACTCCGTTGTCAAGGTACTGTGCTGGTTCCCCTAGCAACACTGCGGGTGTGGCCCTTGGGACGCCGAGGGCATTGAATACACCCTTGAGCAAGTTTTAACTGCAGATTTTCTTTGTAGAAATTCTATGTATAATGCAGGTACCTATGTGGCCCATGGCTGGTAACTATTTGGGCAATTAGAAAAAAAAAAAAACAAGAACCATAAAAACTAGTGTCTATTGCTGCTTTGAATATGTTTGAAAGTCTGAAAATGTAAATAGTTTATCAAAAAAAAAATCTTGTACAGTCCAGTGTAAAGTTTTTAAATGACCTTAAAAGGGTTGTCATCACATCTTTCTCACACTCTCCTCCTGAAAATGGAAAAAAGTTTGCTAAGGATTAAAGAAATGAGAAAAACAAAAAAGAGAATCTCTTCAGATTTCAAGGAATGAATCATTGTTCTTAGCTTTGTTGCATACACACACTTCTTGGATTTCGTTGTGCAGTATTGATGTGAGATAAAACTCAACATTGAATAACCTTTCAGTGGTACTTTTCAAAGTCTTCCCCTCCTCTGCCTCATAATTAAGGGAAAAGACAAAATTGAAAGACACACTGTCTTTATCTATCCTGGTGTATGTTGGCACCTTAGCTACTTTTTTTTTTTTTTCCTTTTTGCACAAGGTGCTTTCCTGATATGTTAAACATGCCATCTTTGGGTGATAATGTATATGCCATGGTGGGGCCTAGGCCCCTCAGGGGAGTGTCTATAAGAACTGCCTATTTATGCTCATTTACCTCAAGACTGTCCTCTCTACCCTTAATCTAGTCGTCATCACTCCATCTTTTGTACTGCTGTTGACACTTACAAATTAAAGATAAATTTTGTTTTATGACCTCCGTGTATGGCCTTGTCTGTGCCCTGCAGACTGCCCCTACCGGAAGCCCGGACAGTCCCGGGCTTCCTGCTCGTCTCCCCGCCCCTCCCCACACCGCTTGCTGCTGGAGCCTGCAGGGCTCCCTTACCCCACTTCTCTCCCACTCCCTGCTTCTGCCTTGCTGGGAGGTAAGGCGCAGGAAACCTTCAAACCCCTTGGCCTGGGAGACTTGCCTGTTTTTTTCCTGGTGGAGGCTACACTGCTGCAGCAGGAAATGCTTGTGGATTCAGACGGTAGGAACAGGATCCAAGGCGGATTTTTTTGTCAAGAGAAGATGAGAAAGAATGTCACTTCCTATTTGCCTGACTTCTTCATGAGAGTGAAACGGTTCATGAAAACTCCCAGCATTCCTGGGTATGAACGAATCTCAAGGGCCAGCCTCTCATCTGACATCAACTTCTACAGGCCTAGCAGCCAAGAGTGGAAAATGCTGCACTTCTGGAACCATCGCCTCCACTGTGGTTGGGAGCGGTTGGCTGATTTCTCAGCTGCTTCTGCAGCAGAGGAGAGTTCCCATCCCGCTGTGCAGCCATGAGTTGGCTCAAGAGTGAATGATATCAGCCTCTAATGGTCTGGGGTCTGGTGGTGGGGTAGTGGACCGAAGCGAGGCGGGCCCTTAAAGGAGACTGGCCAAACCAACCAAGCCAGTGCTGTGGATCCAGAGGTTAGTGACCAAGGCCTGGAGAGGGAAACCAAGGGCTCTTGGGGGAGAGAGGGGATGCACTTCGTTGCTCACACCCTGGGGCCTGACCACCACCCTGGGACTCTCATTTCGCCTTTTGTTTGAAGTAAATCTGTGCTGTTTTCTGTTTGCAAAATTTCCTCTCCTCTTTCAAAGTGAAAGTGAAGTCACTCAAGTCGTGTCCGACTCTGCAACCCCATGGACTGTAGCCTACGAGATTCCTCCATCCATGGGATTTTCCAGGCAAGAGTGCTGGAGTGGGTTGCCATTTCCTTCTCTAGGGGGATCTTCCTGACCCAGGGATCGAACCAGGGCCTCCTGCATTGTAGGCAGACACATCTGAGCCACCAGGGAAGTTCCTCTTTCAAACCCCACCCCAGATATTATATTACCAACTTATCATTACCTTATCAGGCCTCCCCCTGCTCCCCGGGCAGTTTCAGGCTCTCCCTCAGGGCTTCCAAGGTAGTGGAAAGAACCTCTATGATCACATTATCTCATTGTAATAACCTGTTTCTGTGTCTGTCTTTTCTGCTAGATAACAAGCTACTGAAACCAAGGACTGTACCTTGGTCCTCCCAGCTCCCAGCACAGTGCTTGGCACAGAGTAAGTGCTCAACACTTGTTTGTGGAATGAATGTATGAGTGGTGGCAACTTGGCCTCTATGTGTGTTACAGATGCCTCTGAGTATCAGGGTCTTAGACTGTGGAGTGAGGGAGCCTGTAGAGGTACCGAGGTATTAGTTATTTCATTGGAGAATATTTTTACTTGAAACATCTGTAGTCATTTGCGGGAGACCGTTTCAAGATGGAGTGATGGTTTCTCTTGATCAGATGAGGGAATCAAGTTCCCATTCTTTGAATGCCCATTTCCGAGCCTAGCGTCACTGCCCTGTCCTTCTTCCCAGGCATCCTGACTAAAGCATGGAAAAGACAAACCAGAAATAAGAAGTTTTATGGATTTGTCCTACTCCTTGCTTAACATCCCAGGGCCCAAGATTACTTTCCACTCTGCCCAGCGACGAGGGGTATTGGCAGGTCCACCCCATAGACGTTCACCACAGAAGCAGGGGGCTTCTTAGCTTCTCTGCCTGCTGGGGAGAAGACAGGTAGTGACGTCACAAGCTGTTATTTAGTACGTACTCCTTCTTCAACAAAAGAAACTCGTGGTCCAGGTAATAATGACTCTTTCCCTTAATAGTGCTCTAGAACCCAGCCTTGCTTCCTGAAAATATGGTTCATGGATCAGCCTCATCATCACTTAAGACACATTAAAGCACTTCCTGGGCCAGGCTGAGTAGCAGGCTGTGATATACAGGAGCATCTGATAACTATAATCTACCTCTTCTTAGTCAATAACACACCATGGCATGGAGAGGTTAAGGATTATTGTCCTCATTTGAATTGTGAAGGTGTAGAGACAGGAATGGCACCCCACTCCAGTACTCTTGCCTGGAAAATCCCATGGACGGAGGGGCCTGGTGGGCTGCAGTCCATGAGGTCACTAAGAGTCGGACACGACTGAGCGACTTCACTTTCACTTCTCACTTTCATGCACTGGAGAAGGAAATGGCAACCCACTCCAGTGTTCTTGCCTGGAGAATCCCAGGGACGGGGTAGCCTGGTGCTGCCTGCTGCCATCTATGGGGTCACACAGAGTCGGACACAACTGAAGTGACTTAGCAGCAGCAGCAGAGACAGTAAATGACCTACCCAAAGTCAGACTTCCCTGGTGGTTCAGACAGTAAAGAATACACCTGCAATGTGGAAGATCTGGGTTTGATCCCTGGGTTGGGAAGATCCCCTGGAGAAGGGAATGGCTACCCATTTCAGTATTCTTGCCTGAAGAATTCCAAGGACAGAGGAGGCTAGCCTGGAAGGCTACAGTCCATGGGATTGCAAAGAGTAGGACGGGACTGAGTGACTTTCACTTCACATACAAAGTCATGCAAAGATTAAATAGCAATGTCAGAATGCATACTTGTATGTTTCAATTTTAAAAACAGTTGACAGTATTGCATATGGCCCCACAATAGTCTGTGGAGATCACAACCCTGAATCTAGACTCCAGTTATCACCAGGCATCCTGAGGTGTATCACTGTGGGCGCACTGAGGCATCTAGGGGCAGTGGCCTTTGACAGCTCCAACTCCTGCTCTGGCTGGGCCTGGTTCTTGGCCCAGGGCCCAGGAGAGACCCCCATCCCCCACCCCCAGCTCTCTTAAGAACTTGTTCTATGGTCCCTCAAAAATTCTTCTTTGTTCCAGAAAATGTGAATTGCTCTGAAATGATCTGATTGCACTTGTCACATACGCTGTATTGTGTCGCAGGAATCTAATGGATTTCTTTGTCTCATTCACTTTTTTTTAATCCTATAGTCCTAGTTTCTCCATACATGTTTTAAGTGTATTCTTAAAACACTTAAGAATAGGGCTTCCCTTGTAGCTCAGTAGGTAAAGAATCTGCCTGCGATGCAGGAGACCCTGGTTCAATTCCTGGGTCAGGAAGATTCCCTGGAAATGGCAGGAAGGAAGGAAATGGCAGCCCACTCCAGTATTCTTGCCTGGAGAATTCCATGGACAGAGGAGTTTGGCAGGCTACCATCCATGGAGTCTCACGAGTTGCACCAACTTAGTGACTAAACCACCACCATTCTTAAAACAATTTGAAACACGAAGGAAAGAACTCTTCACCTCTGAATTCCAAATCTTCCATACTCTGCGACTGGTAAATTTTTTTTTTTTTTTCCAGCCTATCTCCTAACTATGGCTCGTAACTCTCCAGACACATCAGCCTGTTTGTAGGGTATTTTCCCATGTCTTTGGACTTTTGGTCAATTCATGTTCCCTGTCTAAATTGCCCTTGGCCCACTTCTGCGATCACCATCTTTCCTTTCAGGACCAACTTGAAGTACATCTCCTTCAACAACCTCTACAAAAATCCTGAGTTGACGATGTAGCAGAAGCATTATTAAATGTTTCATTTAACCCTTAACAACTGCTCTAAATGCTAGGTATCATTTTCCCTGTTTCACAGAAGGAGACACTACAACAGGGATAAATCAATTTGCTTGGTCAGGGTCTCCCAGTTAGTCAGAATGTCTTTTGTTTGGATGGGCTGCCTCTCAGACTTCTTCGGCTCAGAATGAATATCTTTCTCTCTGGTTCAGAGTTTCTTAACCTTTTATTTTTTTCTTCATTATCACTACTTAAGGAGACTTTTAGGCATTTTCTTCCCCAATAGTGCTCTACCACCCATGGGATTTAAATAACACAAATACATTACCTGCTTTGCACTCTATGTGCATCTACACTTTATTCATTTAAAAAGATGATTTTTCACCCCCATGAGCCAATTTTTGTCCCTTTAGCGGCACATTACCCTTATTGAGAATACATGCTCTGTATCAAGTTCACTTAGAGGTCTGGCCCTTACCACGGAGCTTGTAACAGTTTCCTTACTATACATTGAATACTGCATTCTGTTTACTAGGGCTTAGTAGCAATTTTCCACAAAACATGGTGATATGAAACAACCATCTATTATCCTCATAAATTCCGTGAGTTCACAAATTTGAATGGGGCACAATAGAAGGTTTTTCTCTATTCCGCAATGTCTGGGACCTCAGCTAGGAAACTCACAAACTGGGACTGGAATAAAATGAAGGCTCATTTGCTCTCATGTTTGGCCCAGTTGATGCCAGCTGTTGGCTAGAACATCTACATGTGGCCTCTTCATGTGACTTGGGCTGCCTCACAACATGGTGGCTGGGTGTCAAGGGGGAGCAGACCAAAGCAGAAAGAGTGAGGGCCGGGTTGAGTCCTCTTTTTTGGCCTAACCCCGGAAGTCATGCAGCATCACTTCGACTGTATTCTATCCACTGATGCAGTCAGAGTCATGCCTAATTCAAGGGGAGAGGAAATCAACTCCACCTCTCAATGGGAGAGTGATAAGCCTCTGTATAGTATGTGGGACTGGATAGGCTGCTGTAGACATTTTTGGAAAATACAATATGCTGCACTCTGATATTTGTTTATCTGTGACTTTGTGCCCTTCCTCCAACTACCACCTTATCTTTCAGAGGGCCTTGTACATGGTGCAATGTTGGTATATGTGTTTGAAATTTATTTGGATACTCTGAGTTGAGAGGATAAAACCCCAAGCTGTGGTCCATTCCTGCCATTACCAGCGTGTGGTTACCAGGTCCAGAGATCCCTGAAGAGGTCAGCTTTGGGCAGGAAACTCCATGATGCACCACAGTGCTCTAGAACAAACAGTAATGAATAGCAAGCATTATAAGCAAGATCCTGGTTAAAGTTTGTTTTTTTTGTTTGTTTGTTTTTTGTCTCAGAGGCCATCTGTTATTTCTGGAAATATTCAAACCAGTCAAATTCCAGTATATGTATTTATAGATACATAGTTAGATAGGCAGATAGAGTGAATGAGGGAGTCACCCAAAGTATTTGCAATAGGATTTGACTTATATTCATTTCTATAGAAGCCTGTCAAAGAAACTCACTACTCAGCAAAATACAGTCTATCTGCTTTCGATAATATTCTACCTGCATTGATATTTCTGTCAACACTACTATCATCAATACAACAAAAGATGTTTTAAAATGGTAATAATGAGTATTATGAATCATAAACTATACAAAAATTAGCATTTTTCAGACTTGGGAAATAGTAGTTTGATGTTCTAGCAGTCTCTAATATGACCTATAATAGCAGTTAAACCCAAAAAGGTTAAATTGAGAAAAAAAATGTGAACCTTAAAACAATCTTTTAAATTTCTGACTTTGGGTTAATATTAATCAGCTAATGGCTATTATCATACATACCCAAACCAGATCT